CACACTTTTCGTGTTCTATGAACATGGAAGTGTCCTCTAGTGGCTGTCTAGTAGTAGACAGCCACTAGAGGAGGACTTAACCCTGCAAGGTAAATGTTGCAGCTTATGAAAACTGCAATAATTACACTTGCAGGGTTAAGGCTAGTGGGAATTGGCACCCAGACCACTCCAATGGGCAGAAGTGGTCTGGGTGCCTGGAGTGTCCCTTTAATAAAGTAGTTTTAAACGTGCATGTTTTTTTCATTTTTCTTTTGGTAGGTGGATGCAGGGGGGGAGGAGGGCTGAGTGGGGAGTGGGTAATGAAGGTGGGAGGGGTCTGGGGTTCATCAGCAGAATCATGCCCAGGGTTCAATTAATATTAAACAGGACTCTGGCTTAATCACACTGAGCTGTAAAATGAAAAAAAAAATTTTTTATGGAGGCTGTGTGAATCAAAGCCAGAGTAGATGTGGCTACGGCTGCATAAACAAAGTGATTCAACTCCTAAATAGCAGAGACTGCAAGGGCATGATCTTTACACCAAAACTGCTTTATTAAGTTAAATTTATGTTCGTGCCTATAGTATTCTTTTAACAAATGATTTCAAAAGGCGGTACAGATTAGAGTTATGGGGAATTCAAACTTTTTTATCACAAATAAGTACTGTATCAACTTTATCTTTAAGCATTGGACAGTAGCCTTTCTTTTCTCAATTCCCATCAAGGACTGTACCAACATACACAATCTCAGATACAGCAGGTCTCTCTACTCTCCCTCCAAACCATACCACAAGAATACCATTGAAAATGTAATTCTATGTCGATATTGTGTGATGCAGGGCCGGACTGGGAAGAAAATTTGGGTGCTGTGTGTGAGGGTGATGTGTGTGTGTAAGGGGTGTAGTGTGTGTGGGAGGGGTGTAGTGTGTGTGTGAGGGCATTGTGTGGGTGAGGGTGCTGTGTGTGTGAGGACTGCAGTGTGTGTGCTGTGTGCGAGTAATGTGTGCTGTGTTTGCGTGAGGGTGCTATGTGCGTGTGAGGAAGCTATGTGTGAGGGTGCAGTGTGTGTGTGAGTGAGGGTGCTTTGAGTGTCAGGGGTGCTGTGTGTGTGTGTTTGTGTGTGTGTGTGTGTGAGTGGGGGTGCTGTGAGTGTCAGGGATACAGTGTGTGTGTGTGTGTGTGTGTGTGAGGGTGCTGTGACTGTCAGGGGTGCAGAGTGTGTGTGTGAGTGATTATATCCCCCTCCCTTCTTACCTTCAGCCTGGAATGGGGGATCGTGCTGCTGCCATCCCTGGTGGCCGTAGTGGTGAGTGAACTCTAACCTGTGGGGCTAGAGTTCACTTTCGTGAGACCCGGAGCATTGCCATGGCAACACTCCGAATCTCACGAGAGGACCCCAGCAGAGCTGCAAGTTAGAGATCCTCCGGGTTCGTCTCCTGTCTCCCTCCCTCTCTCCATCGCCGGCAGCCGCATCACACTGCATGTGGGACGGTGAGGGATATTTTTGATCTCCCCACCGGCCCGTCATGGAATGCAGCAGGGCCGGCGCTCGGATAGTGCAGGTGTTCTATCAGTCTGGTATACCCCGTCAGATTGCTATACCCACGTCACTTCCGGTGAGGGGAATCAGCTGTCTCCTGTGCTGCACATGCGTGCTAGCACTCCTGCTACTCCTCCACAGCAAGGACCTGGAAAGTAAGTAAAACTAGTTTTACACTTTCATTATAGTTAGTGCATTCACTAAGCTTAGGACATGGGACATTTAGGGTTAAGTGAGGGTTCAAATTAGGGTAAGTAAGTGCTTCTAACCTCTCTCACACTCTATTCTTACCCTAACCCTTGGGGTAAGGGTTAAAATAAAGTGTGAGAAATCACTATTTAGTGATATTCCCCTAAAGTGAAATATCACTAAATATGAACAAGTCCCTAATCCTAACCCTAATTTGAACCCTAACATTAACCCAAAATGTCCCATGTCCTAAGCTTAGTGAATGCACTAACTATACCTTCCAGGACCTTGCTGTGGAGGAGTAGCAGGAGTGCTAGCACGCATGTGCAGCACAGGATCCAGCTGATTCCCCTCCCCGGAAGTGACGTGGGTATAGCAATCTGACGGGGTATACCAGACTGATAGAACACCGGCCCTGCATAGAAAAGCAGGCGAGATCCTATGATCTCACGTGTTGGCCTCGGCCCATGGCCACCACGGGCCACCGGGCATTCGACCGGTGTGCCCAATGGCCAGTCCAGGCCTGGTTTGATGTACCCTATTTATACATATACATGATAAATCTATACATTTTACCAAGTAATTGATATGTTGTGTTTTATTTTCTAATAAGCTTGAAAAGAAAAGAATAAACTTTTTTGATAAATATATGTTTTGCAATTTAGGTTTTTACTTTACATGAGCCAATTCTATTGAAAATAATATACAATAGGAAAATGTATCAAAAAATCCTGATAGACATTAAACAAAGTAAACCCAGACATATTTAGATTAAACCAACATATCTGAACACTTTTTTTAAGGCTAGAAATCTGTATCCAAACATAGCTGTGCCTACCACTCCTTGTGACATTAAGATGAACTTATAGTCATTTCCGTACAACCACTCCCTGGGTTTACAGCCAACAGTCATTTGTTCTGGAGTATTATTAAAGGAAAACTGTCAAAATGTTTTTTGTTTTTTTTAATAAAAGTTTGTGTTTATTTTTTATTTTAAATCTACTGTATATGCAGTAGCTTACATTATCTGGAGTGTCCTTAAATGGACAATATAACATCGTAAACACATGTTTTCTCTGAGAAAAGGCAGTTTTCACATTTGTGCCTCGGGTCACCCAGACAGCCTCTAGAAGAACTTCCTAGTGCCTGTCCTGCAATATTTGCAGGACAAACAAGCGTATGGCATCTTCACTCACCACGGAGACACCGAATGCTCCCCATAGTTGCGTTTAACTAATGCATCTGTATGAGGTGATAGTGAATGGCTCAGCATTAGCCATGCCTTAGAAATAAATATTTGTATTTATATCATTAAAGGAGAACTGTTGCTTCACTGGAATCCACACCATTGAATAAACATTGTAACTGTTGATTACTTTTTTTCATGAGATGCGCTGTTTCTTTTAAATTTATTTTAACGATTCAGCAATTATATCATAAACCTGTTCAGACAAGGAAAAGTCAGGGTACACATTTCAATAGTAGAGGAGACATGTTAATATTTTTCTTTTAATTTTTCATAGTCTCTGCATTCTTTCATTGCAAATGACAAAATGACAATTTATCACAATGGAGACATCTTGTTGTAAGATAAAAATGTGTGGACTTCTATATTTAATTTTATTCTTCAGACCCTGGTATTTGTTAAATATAGAAATAGTTTAACATAATATTACAAATTATGGGATGTGATATTTTCCCCATAAAATGTATATGCAGATTTATTTATAAAATATTTTACCAGGAAAGATACATTGAGATTTCTTTTGTTTTCAAGTATGTCCTGGGTCCACAAATCATTGCTTAGTTACATTAGGGTACAACAAAATACAAAAACAATATTAATACACAATATATACAAAATTTAACATAGAACAGGCAGGAAATATATAATCAACCATGACACGTGCATTCTGTTTTGAGGTATGTAGAGAGGCATCTCTTAAATGACTTTAGGCTTAGGGAAGATTTGAAATTGTGCGGGAGGTCGTTCCACAATTGCTGCGCTCTGTAGGAGAAGTAGGATCGGGCCGCTTTCTTTTTGTATTGAGGTAGACTAAGCATAGGCGTGCGCACGGGGTGTGCCGGGTGTGCCTGGGCACACCCTAATCCCCGTGGCACGCCTATGGTTTCACCTCTTGCCCCTGTCATGGGAGGGCAAGAGGTGATGATTCCACCCACCCCGCAGTTCAGCTGCGGCGAGGGAGCTCTCTGCTCTCTGCTGTCTGCTCCCTCTCGCCGCGCGCTGATGCCGGGAGCCGGAATATGACGTCATATTCCGGCTCCCAGCTGCAGCAGACAGCCCGCGCGGCGAGAGGGAGCAGACAGCAGAGAGCTCCCTCGCCGCGGCTGAACTGCAGAAAGGCGCCCGCCCCACTGGACCCCAGGGAAAAGTCCACCAGCACTCCAGGTAGGAGGCTGGGTGGACATTTTTTTTTTAAAATTAAAATATAATAATTTGTGTGTGTGTGTGTCAGTGTGTCTGTGAGTGTGTGAGTATGTGTCAGTGTGAGTGTGTGAGTATGTCAGTGTGAGTGTGTGTCTGTGAGTGTGTGAGTATGTCAGTGTGAGTGTGTGTCTGAGTATGTGAGTATGTCAGTGTGAGTGTGTGTCTGTGAGTGTGTGAGTATGTCAGTGTGAGTGTGTGTCTGAGTGTGTGAGTATGTCAGTGTGAGTATGTCAGTGTGAGTGTGTGAGTATGTGTCAGTGTGAGTGTGAGTGTGTGAGTATGTGTCAGTGTGAGTGTGTGTCTGTGAGTGTGTGAGTATGTCAGTGTGAGTCTGTGAGTGTGTGAGTATGTGTCAGTGTGTGTTTCTGTGAGTGTGTGAGTATGTGTCAGTGTGTGTTTCTGTGAGTGTGTGAGTATGTGTCAGTGTGTGTTTCTGTGAGTGTGTGAGTATGTGTCAGTGTGAGTGTGTGTCTGTGAGTATGTGTCAGTGTGTGTTTCTGTGAGTGTGTGAGTATGTGTCAGTGTGTGTTTCTGTGAGTGTGTGTTTCTGTGAGTGTGCGAGTATGTGTCAGTGTGTGTCTGTGAGTGTGTGAGTATGTGCCAGTGTGTCTGAGTGTGTGAGTATGTGTCAGTGAGTGTGTGTGTGTCTGTGAGTGTGTGTACCAGTAAAAGGAGTGTGTCTGTGAGTGTGTGTGTGTGTCTGTGAGTGTAAGGAGTGTCTGTGAGTGTGTGTGTGTTCGTCTGTGAGTGTGTGTGTGTGTCTGTGAGTGTGTGTGTGTTCGTGAGAGTGCTGTGTGTCTGTGAGTGTGTGTAACAGAGTGTGTGTCTGTGAGTGTGTAAATTCAGGAGAGTGTGTGTGTGTCTTTGTGTGTGTGTGTGTGAATATATATATATATATATATATATATATATATATATATATATATATATATATATATATACACACACACACACACACACGCGCGGCGTGTGTTTGTGCTTTAGGGTGCACACCCTAATGCAATAGGCTGCGCACGCCTATGCATAGTAGTCACACAACCACAGCAGAACATGTTCAGTAATTATTTATGTCAAAATGGTCACAGTTGTATAGTGTATTATGAACATGTTACAATAATGCACTCTTCATATCCACAACTTTTATTTTTAAACATACTGCACACATAGGACTACACCACATTCTCTACAGGCACACTAATCTAGTTTTCATCTACTCTAGACTAGAATGCCAGTGCAAGCCATCACCACACATCCTCACTGCTCAACAGAAGTTTAGCAGTTGCCAAGATCTACTGTAGAGCCACACGGTGCAACTCAAACCATCCACACATATGGCATACTAGCATTCTTATACATAGCAACACGCACACAGATACTGAGATAGGAGCATTAACAATAACAGAACACAAGGTAGGAAAAGGCAGACTGAACTCTAGCCCTATGTCCTGACTTGGAATTTTCCAGCCTTGGTCATGTATTTGATGCCTTTGAAGGGTTTGTATTTTTCTCCATACATGTCCAGTCGGTTTACCTTCAGGCCTGAAGAAAAGGAAAAGACAAAATACTGCTTTAACATTATTCAACATATAGAGATATATTAATTATAACCTATAAACAGGTACTAAATCACTATGGCCAGGTGGGTGTACCTTCCGTGGGAGCTATATTAAGGCACAAAAACGCATGGTATATCACTCATGACCTCTGCATCAGATTGCTTTAATTTCACTGCGGTTTCCCATTCTGCAATCCATTTTATCAATATGCCTTGTTTTGTAGTCACCTGAGTAACAATTAGAGTGTACTTAGCTTGGAGCTTTTCAAGACAAAAAAGGCATTTTGTTATCTTTATGTTGGCTGGGAGTGGTCTTGTTTTTGCTACCGAATAATTATAGTTGGCATCTGTTCATCCTTTTACTTCATCCAGTATGTTTTGTTTGTCCATTTGGGTTTTTTTCCCCTGAGTATTTGTTTTCATGTTTGGCACCTTTTCAGATTTACATGGCATGGAATCCAGAAGATCACACCCTTTAGCCAATCAGGATGATTTGTGGCCTATTTACTACTGGCACACGGTCCCTCCAGCTGTTCTGGGACCCTGTATTTCTTACAATATCAAATTATGGAAATGTAATATTTTAAGATGACTGTACTTCATTCTGCCTGGTTATTTTAGACTAGTGTATGTTTTGCTGTTTATGGACAAGAAAAAAAAAATTTGAAATAGCTACCAGTTTTGAAATACCATTTTTTTATGTAAGCCAAAGGTTTTTAGAAGATTTAACATTACTAGAGCATATAGTATTCCTTGTTACTCTGATTAAACAAATGTAGTTGATAGTGGATAAATGAATTGCAGTGATATTGCAAGCACAATACCCAACCACTCTCCTTGACATACCAGAGATGGCCAACTGTTGGATCTTGAAGTGCAAATTGAGTGTAGGGTTTTCATCTGGCTTTGAAGACCCAGCCTGGAGGATCATAGTTCCCTTCAAACTTGGCAACTTCTGAGGATTTATCTTACCCACATCCCATGACAACAGCTGCAAGTAAGATATTGAGTCAAGAGGCGTTTGCAGTAGAAAGGAAGCATGAGATATTTACAAAAGCATAGCGATGAACACAATTATGCCAAACTATAGTTGTACATGAAAACACACATCTAAATACAAAACCAAATATGGACATACTTTTATCTGGGCACACTGCCACATCCCTTTTCAGTCTGATTTTAAATGTGTATTGAAATAGAGTTTTATATTAACATGCACAGTCATACACTAATACAATATGCAATGTTGTAGCAAAGTGCAGCCCATTTTGCCAACGCAAGAAACTACAAAGTACATTCCAATTTTCTGTAGACACACAACACAACATGTGTTCCTGACCTTGGTCACTGGATCGAAAACATATGTTCCCTGTGAGGGGGTCAGTGTCATATTGAGGACACCCTTTGGCATCTGCCCAGTGACGGTCACACCTTCCACTGTTTTTCCCATGCTTTGTTTGGGTCCAAGCGTCACCTCAAAGCGTCCAGAACTTGTACCTTCTCGAAAACTGATTCCATGTTTCACGTACACAGGGATTGCCACCAAGCTGCAAGGCACAATCAGTAAGTTCCTGCTACGGAGGTAATGAGTAGACAAATCCTTTCCAGGTCCAGCTATGTTGAACAAATCTATTCATTCATCCATATTTTACCAAGAATTTGATTTGTTCAATGTGACAGGAAGGGATTTGTGCCCAAGTCTAGTAATGAGTACATCCTGCATAACTAACCAGGTAGACATGGTGCATCACAAGCAATATGATCATCCACATTTCTCTGCTCAACAGAAGAAAAATAAAAACATTGAGCGATATTAAGATGGGAGATTCTGAACTCAATGTCACGGTGGGTTAAATCTATCATGGCATGAATAGAAGGCTCTGTAAGAGAGAAAGTCCCACATAATCAGTATAACTTTTGTATTAAAGGGACACTCAAGACCCCTATATCTCTTTAGATTGCTGAAGTGCTCTATGTGTACAGAGTGTCCCTTTTTTCATTTTACAAAAAGTGCAGAATTCAAAAGAAATTGAATTCTATAATCTGACAGCTGGAGGGTGGGCTGTAAGAAAGTTAATCAGACAACTGGTGCTGTTACGGTCTGGTTGTTTAGCAAAGACTTGTCATTGAGCTGCATTGGAAAGTCCGTAATTGCCCAGCCACATTAAGTCTAGGCTGGGGAAGAAAGGATGATGGGCTTGCAAAAGCTGCAGACAAGTGATCTGTAGCTATTGCAAAAAAAATAAAAATAAATTAAATGCATGCAATTTCAATGTGGGTGTATCTACTAAACCATGAGAATTTGGGATTTTAAGTTATGCAAATTCTCATTTAATATTTATCATCCTTAATAAATGAAAAAGGTCTTACTTCTGGGCACTGACATGGTAGGACAACAGTCGGAAATTGCCATCAGGGGGAATGAAGGAGAGGATTCTCTCTGACTCCCATCGCTTGAAACGCACACAAGGATGGAAGCTTACATCGTCCAATAATCGAGGATTCTGAGAAACAAAAAAACGCAAAGGAGGTGACGTGACGAGTTTATTACTATGGATATCCTATGAAAACCAAAAAGGTTTTTTCCCCCTCAGTCTAGGCACAACATTATTACTATAACACGCAGCATTCCCACCTGTCTTGAAGGCTGTACCACTGATGGCACCCAATTCCCATTGCACTATTCTTGCTGCCTTAATGGTAATATCACTAACTGCGCAGTATGCTCAGGGTTTGCAAAGTCATTAAATGTGCATGATTCCCAATCATTGTATGTCAATGAAAAGAGCTAATGCATCATCAGTAGAATCTGTTCAACCTTTGGGTCACAGGTTCAATTCCCGGCAGGGTTGCCTTTGCCCTTCATCTTTCCGAGGTAGATAAAAGGAGTACCATTAAATTGAGTAATCGTGACAACCCCTGGATGTTGGGCTAAGGTAAGATCCCCAAGACGTACTTGAAAACCAGAGTAATCTGAATGTGTCTTTCCTGATTAAATACTATTATCCCCATGCAGTTCCACACCTTCAAATTGTCTCACCATAAAAGATAGCGTCAGATCAGGCATCCCACTCAGTTTAACGCAGGCATCAATCACTCCCTGAATCTCAGCTGTAACAGTGCAACCTATAAAAATGATATTAGAGGTTAAGGTTAGAGAGAACAACCCATTACTTACAAAGGGTTATTCACTAAAGCTTTCAGAATTTCAAAATCTTAAAGGGACACTATAGTCACCAGAACAACTACAGCTAATTGAATTTGTTCTGGTGAATAGAATCATTACCTTCAGGCTTTTTGCTGTAAACACTGTCTTTTCAGACAGAGAAAAATGCAGTGTTTACATTACAGCCTAGTGATAACTTCACAGGCTACTCCTTAGATGGCTGTTAGAGATCTTTCCTGGGTCATGGCTGCCTAAAATGCATCCAAACATTCAGTATCTCCTCCCTCTGCATGCAGACACTGAACTTTCCTCAGAGATGCATTGATTCAATTCATCTTTATGAGGAGATCCTGATTGGCCAGGGATGTGTTTGAATTGTGCTGGCTCTGCCTCTGTCAGTCTCAGCCAATCCTATGGGGAAGCATTGTGATTGGATCAGGCTACCACTTCTGATGAAGTCAGCAGGCAGGTCTAAAGGAAACAGGGACAAACAATGCAGCTCCAGACTTGAATACAAGTAAGATGTTACTATATTTAGGGAGGCAAAAGGGGGGCTAGATGGTGGTTCTAACCCTATAGGGTCAGGAATACAGGTTTGTGTTCCTGACCCTATAGTGCTCCTTTAATGCAAAAAGAGTCAGTGATTCATAGAGGCGGTCTTGCTAGGTAAAGGCCTAGCAAGACCGCCTACAGATGCAAGGCTAACATGCCAAATCAATGAATGCTTCAAATACTGGAATGACAGTATGACTCTTCCCAAGACGATTTTACTATATCATGTTCAGCCCCAAGTATTAGAAGGTAATCCTACCAAGAGAAAGCAAAAAAAAGCAATAATTGGAACACGTTAAAAACAAAACACTCTGCTAAACCATAATCTCCTAAATGCTTTTATTCCACAATCAAAAGATGACTAGGCCAGCTATCTCTGTGATGGCAGACAAAATTCACTTGAAAGTGATTATTTATGTTGCTACAGAATTATTTTCAGCCATTTACTGGGCATGGAAAGGGGTCCCCTAGACTGCCATACATTGCTATAGAATCAATGGAAGGCAGTGTCACACCATCTAATTATAAATGGGTCAAGGACAGATATTTGCATGCAGCGGGATTCATTTAAACATACGATTGTAGACTGGTCCACGTCATCCTTCACTTCTCTTATTAAGTTAAAGGAGATACTACTCATAACATATAAGGTACATTTTATGCTTTTGTCTAACCTAGTTTAAATATGGAATCACTATTAGTTACCTCAGCGGTTCCCAAAGTGTGTGTCGCGCTGACCCACACATCCAGGGCCGCAGGGGACTCGGGCAAGCAGACTGACACAAGGAGGGAGCCCGGCGGCTTGCCCTGTATGCCGCCGGGCTCCCTCCAATCAGTCTGTCCAGCAGCTCTGGTCTGAGCTCCGCCGGGTGCAGTACTGCAGACCGTGTGATAGAAATCTCGCGAGCTCCCAGAGCGTTACCATGGCAACACTCTGGGAGCTCGCAAGACTTATTACACGGTCTGCAGCTCTGCACCCGGCAGAGCTCAGACCGGAGATCACCAGGGAATTCAATGAAGGTAGGACACAGTCCCCAGACATCCCCCTCTCCCCATGTCACCCAGTCACCCCTTACACCCCCTTCCCTCCCCCAATGTCACCCCTTCACTCCCTGCCCCCCTCCCCACACTGTCACGCCTTCTCTCCCCCTGCCCTCCACCTCAAGTACCCTTCTCTCTCCCCTGCCGCCTCCACCCTCAAGCAACCCCCTTTCTTTTCCCTGCCCCTGCTCCAATTGCCAATACCCCCTCTCCTGCCCTGCCCACCCTCAAGTAGCCCCTTCTTCTCCCCTGCTCCTGCCCACCCTTGCTACTCCCCCTTTTCTCTCTCCCCTGCCCTGCCCACCCTGCAGCCCCCTTTTCTCCTTGCATGCCCTGCCCACCCTGCAGCCCCCTTCTCTCCCCTGCCCTGCCCACCTCAACCCCTTCTTCCACCTGCCCTGCCCAATTCTCGCAACCCCTTTCTCTCCCTGCCTCTGCCCACCCCTGCAGCTCCCTTTCTCTCTCCCTGCCCTGCCCACCCCTGCAGCCCCTTCTCTCCCCCTGCCCTGCCCACCCCTGCAACCTCCCCTTCACCTGCCCTGCCCACCCCAAGAACCCCTTCTCTCCCTGCCCTGCCACCTTTCTCTCCCCTGTGTTCTGCCCACCCCAAGAACCCCCTTTTCTCTGCTCTGTGCCCACTCCTCAAGAACTCCCTTTCTTCTCCCCTGCCTGCCTAACAACACCTCAGAACCCTTTTCTCCTCTGCCTGCCCACCCCGTAACATTTTCTCACTTTGCCCTCACACTGCCTCCACACTGTTACCAGCACACACACTCCCTCCCACACTGTCACCCTCACCTCCTGTCTGCGTGTATGTGTATCTGTGTCCTTTTGTGTCAGTGTGTATCTGTGTACATGAGTGTCTGTATCTATGTGTGGGAAACTAGGTGTCATTGTGTATTGCTGTGTCAGGGTGTGTATTTGTGTGTCTGTGTATATGTGTACACACTTCACACATAGTCCATACAAAAAACATGCTTACATTCAAAACACACATTGTGTATATGTATATTTTATAAACACAATACACACACTGCATCCACTACACACACACACACACACACAATGCATCCACTACACACAAACATTACATACAAAACACACCCCAGCATTAAAACACTAAAATTATCTACAAAGACCCCTTCATTCAAACACCACTCAAAAAGCACACCTGCATTTCAAGTCCGACACTACATACAAACACCCATG